TTAAAAATTATGTGTTTATAAAATACTCAATTTTAGCTGGAATTAATTTTCGCTGAAATGGCCTTTCGGGCATTTTGTATGAAATTTATTTTCACTATTATTTGACGAGTTGAATGTTAAATATGGGAAAAAATGGTATATTGGCTGGATTTTATTTCCACTGAATCATCCCTTCAGCGAAAATAGCAAAAAATAAATTCTAAGTGAAAATAAAGTATTTTACAGTAATTAATATTCTATCATATGATATTTACATTTCTGTCTAATGATTATTATTGATATTATTTATTAATAGGTGATATCTTTAGTTGCCATGCTGTGGATAATCCTGATATGGAGTCAGAGATGGCAATGTTACGTCAGTATGGACCTGATGTACCACAACCATTGTTGAAAAAACTAGTACTGGCATTTGGTGAACTGAGAGAAATGGCAGACCAGGGTTTGATTGCATATCCATATTCTACCAGAGAAGTGGTGAATATGGTTAAACATTTACAGGTACAATTCTCATTATTTATTAGTTTTCTGTTATGGTGACACAGGAGAAAACGAAAAACATTTGCACAACACTTGCAACGTTATTCGTTAGAGTGAATTCTACTTGAAAATCATCATGTGCAAACATATTACTATTTGACAAATCAATGGAAGCTCCCATAGACAGAAACATTATTACCCCAGTAATCAAATCCCAGAATGCATAGCAATGTTTCCAAGGTGTGTGCAATGTTAGCACCATGATGACATCACATGTTTGGTAATAGTGTTGTGTATAATGTTAGCACCATGATGACATCACATGTTTGGTAATAGTGTTGTGTATAATGTTAGCACCATGATGACATCACATGTTTGGTAATAGTGTTGTGTATAATGTTAGCACCATGATGACATCACATGTTTGGTAATAGTGTTGTGTATAATGTTAGCACCATGATGACATCACATGTTTGGTAATAGTGTTGTGTATAATGTTAGCACCATGATGACATCACATGTTTGGTAATAGTGTTGTGTATAATGTTACCACCATGATGACATCACATGTTTGGTAATAGTGTTGTGTATAATGTTAGCACCATGATGACATCACATGTTTGGTAATAGTGTTGTGTATAATGTTAGCACCATGATGACATCACATGTTTGGTAATAGTGTTGTGTATAATGTTAGCACCATGATGTCATCACATTCATTTGTATAAGCCCCACCCCACCTGATCTGAATTACTTGTAAAGCATTAACCTGGATCGCTATTTTACATTTGTTATCTTGTTTCATTTCAGAAATTTCCTGATGAAGGTCTTACCAATGTTGTTAGAAATGTGTTTGATTTTGATGCTTATAATAAAGAAATGAAAGAACAGATTGTTGAAGCTCTTCATAAACATGGTATACCTATAGGAGCCACAGCAGAAAGCATCAAACTGGCTTCAGAGTAAGCTACATGTGAAACCATTGTCAATTTGAAAAGTAACATCATGTTATTAACATATTCAGTGGCTCAAAGCAAACAACATTTTTCCTTCTTCAAATCATTACACAAACTAAGGTCAACATCAGTATTTTGTACATCTGAAGTGTTTTGGTGTTATTTGATTAGTCAAGCCTCCATGTCTTCTCACTTGTTTCCCTAGGGAAATAATTAGGGTGAAGTAATAAATTTGGAGGCTATAATATTTCTTGTAAAGAATGACAGACATGTTAATTAGAAGGACTGCTTTGTGTTTTATATAATTCAATATTAAAGTTATTTATTTGAAAGGTTTTGAAGACAAAATGACTTGAGGCCATTTTATTTGGACACTTTGTGTTTATGTCTGATTTTTGACAAATATTGACCGGCATTAGGCAAAGTTCACACAATTAACAAAATAAAAGTTATTTATGCACAATCCTTAACTAATAATGCTATGATATTTGTCATTCCTTGGCCATCACTATTGAAATTTTAGATTGTATTTACTGGTATATACATTCTTCTTTTACATTGAGGATGCAAAACCTAGATAGTGCACTATTTCATATAAACAGTATTATATAATTATTTTGGAAGATAAATTGTTTACATTGTAATAAGTAAATTATAAAAGTTATAAATGGGTCTCTCAATATTATGTTTATTCATTCTGTTTCCTAAACTCAAATTTACAGAGAATAAATTATACCACTAAGATATCAGCAGACAGGAAACTTTATACTTCCAAATATTGTATTCTTCAAAATGTATTCAAACTTCAGTATTGCATGACATCCTGAATAAAGAATGCTGAATAAATATATATAATTGTAATACTGTCTCCTGCGTGATTTTATTTCCAGCAAAGTTTATTTATTTTTGTTATGGTTTATGAACTTTAAATAGTAACTCTGTATTCAACAATAAATTATAAATGATTTGCCAAATACCAATTCATAAATTCAGCATTCTTATTTCATTTTGGACACTGAGTATTATATTTTGTTGTACGTAATCGTCATGAATAATTTTTGATTTCTCAAATTAAACAATTTTACCATATCATATTTCTGGCATTTAAAATCAGAAGAACAGTTTATAATGTTATGAATCTTTTTTAAACTTTTCTGCAATTTAGTTAAGGTCAGACAAAAACTGTAAAAAGTAATTTCAATCATAAAACAGAATAATATTATTGAAACTATGAATATTATTGGTTCATGTTTATATGAAGACTGACTATTGTAATTAAAAATAAAGTTGGATTCTCAGAGTCAGAGTTTTGAAATACAATATATATATATATATATATACTAGTTTATTTTGACTAGGTAGCCTCTTAAGTACCATATACATATTTACAGTTTGAAAACAACATGTTTTAATTTGTCCATTAACATCGGCTTTTACATGCATCATAAAGAAGACATCTATTACCAATAATATAGCTCATTCTGATGTTCATTTGTTTGCTAGACTAGAACTTCCTGAACCTAAACTAACATCTCATTGGATGATTGGTAGAGGTCAGCAAGGGTCACACAATAGGAAATTACTGTGTCCTGTTGAAGAAAAGCAGCTAAGAATAAAGGTGAGTACCCCCCCCCCCCCCGCCACCCTAAATTCAAGTATGTGATTGTAAAGTAGTGAATATGTCTATAAATTCCAGAAAATCATAATACAATATTTTTAAGAAACATTTATAAATTTCAGATGATTGAAAACTGAAACTAATCACAATGCATTATCAATGAATACTGCACACATATAATTCCATGACTGCCCGTTTGACCTTTTATGACAATTTTCCTGCTCTCTAAAAAGAACAGTTTTACAATTTAAACATTCAGTAAAAAATTATAGTGACGATATTACTCAGTATGCAAATGATTATTCTGCAGTAATTTGAATATATTTGATGTTCTATGTACATAGGATTGAGGGAAAGACTAAGAGACTTGTGGATGTTAACCACCAATGGGGTGAATGTGTGTATGTTTCATGAATCTATGCCTTTCTGAAATGCAGTGTATTCCACCAATTATTAATTGGCTTGGCCACTTGTAGTAGACCAAAGTTAAGATCTTACCTGTGGTTGATCACTAACATCCACACTTGCGTGAGTGTGCCATAAACGCAATGGGAAGGCCAAATCTACTGCCCAATATTGATTCATTAACAGATGTGATTTGGGGGAAACTGATGCTTGTGTTTGACTGGATTGAGTTGACACTGGGATAGCAGGGTTCTTGCTACCCACTCACCAATGGATAAATGCTTCACTGTATTACTCATTTGTAAGTCTGAATTTCATGACAAAATAGTGAGATGATAACCAGTTTGGCTAAAAGTGTTTTCATCTCAGAGAAGATAACAATGATTGTAATAGGCAGATGATCACATAGATCTGTCAATAGTTGAGAGAGTCAATTGTAACATACAGTATTGTCAACTAACACTTGCACAAGAATATTTTACACAGAATTATGTGTTTATCCCTTTCAGATTTAAGTTTTTTTAAATATCTGTATTGTGCATGAATAGTTTTGCTAAAAATGTGCGGACACAATTTGAAGACTTAATTAAATCATTCTCTTGTGTTTTTGACTACTGTGGACGAAGCACAGAATGGTAGTCTTTGCATTTCAAAATCTCTATTTGTAGCTGTTGGCATAGGTGATTGTGAGTCGTCATCCAGTGGTCTCCTTGAAAGATGTTAACTCTGTTGTTTTTGACTCCCATGTTGCTTTTTGATGAAACGATGCATAGATGTTCTGGGCTCGTGTGCAGATTTTATTAGGTTTTTGTTAATTACCTAATTTGCATGATAATTAGCTATTTTTTAGCTGCTCCATAACTGTTCTACTTATATCTAAAGAACTACTCATTGGATTTTGATGAATCATGTTACATATATGCTCTGGACAATGCACAAACCTGGTTTGGGTAAATCCATATTAATCATCTTATTTGCATATTAACAAGCCATTCTAGCTTATCTACCAATATCTCCATCGGATCAGATTTCAAACTTGGTACATAGGATATACCGGTAATCCACAAATCTAAAATCTATGTATAATAATTACCCACCTAGTATAAATGGGTTCATGTGACCTCGAAGGCAGGTGCAACTAGTGCTATAATTGAGGCATTATAATAATAAAAGTATTTGACAAAAGATGTAAGTAACATATTAAATGACTACATGGTCATGTGACTTTATTTATATGCATAACTGTGATATCACAGACTAAGGCAAATTGGTGGTAATGAGACATACTTTAATGATTTTGTATGAAATAAATACAATTTTGGCTTTATGTAAACTGGAGATGTGCATCTAATATAGTAAATACAGTATTTCTTCTTTGCACATGTTCTTTGTAAACTTTTTTTGATTTACTATGTAGGGTCCTGTATATTTGAATGTAAAAAGTTATCCATTAGACAAGTTTGAAGATCGATCTAGTACATTTTCTGAATTGATATCTCATTGGCATTTACCGTTGCAAGACAATGACATCATAGCTGATATATCGGCATCCCGAAGTAAGTACATTCTTAATTGCCCACAAAAGTGTGCAATTCATTAGGCATGTATGTTACCTCCAGAATACAATGGTTGATGTATTTATTATTTTATTCATGTAAAATCATTTCAAAAAATACATTGGTCAAAGATTTCAGCTTCTCATAACCTAAAGCTATGAATTATCTCCCAATGTCCCATTATTGTTTGATTTTTTTTCTTTCTAGATTTGCTGTCTAACATAATTCACACAATCACGTCAACTCCAGTTGCCTTGTACAGTACATTTATCAACAAGCAAGCAGTTCAGTATGTAGATTTGTATGATATCTTTCCTAATGTGAGATATTCTTGGAATCCAGTGTTAAAAATTGCTGCCTTAGGATCACCACTGGATGGACAAGCAATCATACATGAACAAAAGGTACATGTAAATGTATTAATTAGTAACTGGTTTTTAATTTTGCTATTTTCGCTGATAAGTAAAAATAGTCACATTGAGTTTTCTCAATAAATTATATAAATTCATGTCCCTATTCAGAAATGCTATTAGAGTGCATGTTTACATAACATGACAATATTCTCTTACACATGTTACCTTGCAGACCAATACTGTTCTAATGTGTGATCCAAACACTGGTGCCTTGAGAAGAGTTTTCCTAAATTCAGCTATAGAGGGTGCTAAAGATAAAATTGCTGGTTTATTTGGTCAGGAGCAAGTCACTCATAAAATGTGTTCAGAATTTGCACACGAAAACTGGGCTGTGTTTTATGAAGAAGGCGGGTTAGTTTGATTTATTTTATCAATTCCTTTTTTTTTATTTAAATATATCGCAGTTTATTCTACATATATTATCAGAGGTTGTTACATTTCAAATTATAATAAAGAGTGAAAATTACATATCACAAAGAAATTCTGTTCTCAAAATATGCATTTTTGACAAACCAAATACATTTCCTCCTGACTATGGTTCTTAAAGGCTCACTTATTTGTGAGATTTTTTTTTAGTATATAAATATACATATAAAATAACCAAATAAAATAGCTGGATGTGGTGGTGCCATATTTCTCCAGACTCTCCTCAAAAACGGTTAACAAGAGTGACAATAATACCACGTAGAAAACAAAACAAAAACATTACCTAATTTTAAGATTTCCCCACTTTTCAAAATAGAGGTCTGTTTTATTTTGCTTAATTAAAATGTAGTGTTTGTTTGTGTTTTATGTATGTTCATCAATTCTTGTTTTTTTTTAAAGTTGTCAGTCTTCGGTCATCACTCAGTTTACTGTTCATTTGCAGATCCTCATTAGATGTTGTTGACATGTTACAAGGCACTGCTTATAGTATTGATCTACCATTGAATCTCAAATCAGTACATTTACCATCCAAAGATGCATGGCTACTGACAGAAGATAACACAAATAAGTGAGTAGAGAAATAACACAGCTTACACAACCATCTTCAGTATAGCCAAGCATTTATTGTGTGTGTGTGTGTGTTAATCAAAATTGTTCATATGACACCAAAAGAAAGCTTCAAAGAACACCAATCACAGAATGCAATGGGTACTTTTGACCAATCACGGAATGCATTATATGCTTCTGACCAATCACAGAATGCATTCATTATATGCTTCTGACCAGTCACAGAATACATTATATGCTTCTGACCAATCACAGAATGTATTATATGCTTCTGACCAATCACAGAATGTAATGGGTACTTCTGACCAATCACAGAATCCATTATATGCTTCTGACCAATCACAGAATGTAATTGGTACTTCTGACCAATCACAGAATGTAATGGGTACTTCTGACCAATCACAGAATGTAATGGGTACTTCTGACCAATCACAGAATGTAATGGGTACTTCTGACCAATCACAGAATGTAATGGGTACTTCTGACCAATCACAGAATGCATTTGATGCTTCTGACCAATCACAGAATGCATTTGATGCTTCTGACCAATCACAGAATGCATTGGATACATTGAAAAATGTAATAATGTATTCCCAGATTGTCCTAGTTTATTAAATGACCAGTTGTGACTCGTGTAACGTTTATTTATAGCAATATATACACATATAATAAGATACCTTTTTATTTATATTGTAGGAGATATCTATTAACCAGACCATCATCAGATATGCCTGTATGTCAGTTGAATACTGTGGATGTTAAAGTGGCAGAGAATGCAACCCATGAAGGTACTTTCACTATAAACTAACAGCAATTCTTTAGAATTAACAAAGGCTTTTCCTGTAACTGACAGTTTGAAATGCTGGAAAAATACTATTGGTCAACAGCAACAATGTCAATTGTAAACAACACCCGATACATTTTAGGGTATTAGTATCTAATTTTTGTACATCGAAAAAACAAAATAATTTGTCATTCCATGAAAAGCCATATACATGTAGCATTTCTCTATCCAAAACATATCAGCACTTGTTCAAATTTGTTTTTATATGCGAACAATCAAACACTTCTTATCTCCACTGTTGTCTTTGTTGAGCGGAGCTTGTATGAGTGATTGTCTGTCATTATTCGCATCAACTTTTTACTTTTTCAACATCTTCTTGAGAACTACAAGCCAGATATCTTTGATCACATGTTGATGTATCTGGTTTAAGTGCTCCACAAAATGGCTCATTTTGATAATCAGAATGCATGGAATATTTTTCTGTCCTGTACAATCATAAATAATTATAGAATACAATGTTGATATTTGTTTGAAGTTCACCAAACAGTTGATGAGATGTCATATGTTTCTAGCTATGCTAGTCTTCAAAATGAATGTCAGTCTGAGATTAATTACCATTCAAAGTGTGAGTCCAACCTGTTAGTGTCACTATGCCCTTTCAATGCAGACAATAATGTACATAAGAACATAGAATTGACAAATTGAATTTCCCATGACATACTGGTGTAATCCTGGTGATTGTGGAGCCACACTTTAAAACTATTTACCATCATGATTCTGTTTGTTCACAGACAATAATACCAGAAGTCTATTCATGGATGGACCATTTTATTCGGTTGCTACAACCTCACTGAACAAAGACCAGTTAGGCCAGGCCTTGAAACAGAATATAGATTCTCCTAACAGATTGATGGCTGATACAAATCACTATGCGGCTATTGCTGTAGGATTCCCTGAACTAATGGTAAATATGGTGGGATGTTGTCGACAGGACACCGAAGATCCTAAGAAAACTCTTAAACAAGATTTGTTTAAATTGTGAAATCTTTATTTTGTTTCTTTCCGTCATAGTCTGAAAGTGAAATATACACGATTCCAAGACAGAAACAAGAAGAGACATGGATTAAGAATTCTAGAGATCCATTATTTCAACTTGCAGTTAAAAAGCCAGAAAAGAAAGAATATGAATCTGTGTTTTTACCAGATGCTAATCAAGTTGTTAAAGTGCTACCTATCAGTCAAGTACCTCAAGAAGTCTACCCAGGTGAGTGTTTAACAAAATGCATACATAGTCTAATGTAATTTAGTTATAAGTTTGAACTACCTATGAAATCAATTATTGGTATTGGAATTTTATCCTGATACAATCTGATTAAAATCTGATGTAGTGTACGGGCTTTAATTATTTTGGCTATAAACTTATTTTAATTTTATTTTTTATTACTTTTGTTATTAATGCCCTTTTATTTTATTATTTTACTTTGATTTTGTAAGTCCCGTTCAAATCTCGCGTAAGTAACAGCCAATCACAGCCCCCCTTTTATACAGGCTGTCGGTTGCTTACTTTTCAGTGTAGCGATACTCTACGGGCAATCTTTCTGTACATTATATTTTGCCCACTTGAATAAACCATTAATTGAAAATTGCTAGTATATTTTTATTTGCAAAAGAAATTCCTCAGCATTTTACAATTTTTGTCATTACATTGAATATTTTTTTCACTTCCAACAAATGTGTACACTTCCAGATACATCTTCGCCAGCCAAGGTTCGTTCATTCAGTAATCATTTCAA